CCCCCCCCCTATTAGAAACTTCTGTATCCGCCCCTGGTTTCCGTGCAGGAAGAGATTTCGCCTTTGACTGAAAAGCAAGACTTGATATTCATCGCGGTCTCGGATGGATTTAGAACCGTTTGAAAAGCGAAAAGGCCCGCCTTTTTTGACCAGGCGAGGCGAGAAATTAATATTAGGCGAATTCATCCAGCAAGTGGACACCTGTCATATTCGAAATTTAACGAATTCACCCTACGGTGTTGCCTGGACAGGGCAGCACAATTTCACGGCAGGTTTGGGACATTCATCCACCTTTTTGGCTCACTCGAAAGTAGGAGGCAATAATTTTCCTGCAGGTTGAAGGAAACGATCTATTGTGCAAGTACGTTCGCACCTGTAAATCTAACTTGGCAATGTGAATTTCCTGCCTTTCCAGCTGTTGATCCTCCCTGGCACTCATATACAAATTACATGAGTGGAAATATGCATATTACAAAGGAGACGATGGGCACCTCCATGAACTTTCGGTTCTAACTTTGCAATTGCAGGATGAAAGCGTTTCTTGCCCACTAGGATTTTATTCCGGAGATCAGGGTATCACATTCAAAAATCAATACACCAGTATTGAAAAAAAAATTACAGTTGAAGCACAGATCTTGTCCTGTAATTAGGCAAAATCAATTCGTATCTTGGCCAGACGTTCTTTGAAGACTGTTTCGTGCACTTTATTTACGTCTGGCAACGAAACGTCAAGACAAACATAACAATGAAGAAGCAACAACGGAACTTGCACTCTAATCGAGGGCAGTTCAAATATATAAAAATTGGAACCCAGAGAACCCTTATTTGGAATTTAAATATTTTCATGAGGAAAGAGACAAAGGCTCGTTCACAAAAAACAAAGATGAGTTGAAAGGTGAAAATCCAAAGGCTATGTGCTCTTCGAGGTACCAAAAACATCTGGTGAGGGCATGTTCTCTTTTTTCACCCTGAACCATGAGTAACAGTACTGTCTAGAATCAGCTTCAAAGCTCCACAACGATATTCTCGGAGCATCCCCAGAGAGCTGAGATGGAAGTCGACTTGGACCGATCTCAGATTTCTCGGGGAGGTCAAAATTCAGATAGGCACTTCACCAAATGTTTTGGGGGCGATTGATCAAATTGGTTATGTTTAGTCTTTCGTGAATGAGCCTTATGGACTATATCATGAATCTCAATTCCAGACTCAATGTGTGCAGAGTTTCAATCAGACATCATGGAATTCTTGAGAAATTCTGAACCAGTGAAAAATAGATGAAATTACGTGCTTCATTGAAAGGCAAAGCAACGAATCCCAGTCATACATCCATTTCACATTCAAGGGTCGACATCACCTCGACGACAGGCAGAAAGCGAAGACTTTAGAGAATGAAAAGATGAAATCAAAATGCTCTGTCACAACAGGCGATGACATATAGCCAAAGATGCACAATCATACAGCAAGTAGGCATAACTTGAGAGTAAAAAAAGATTAAATACAAAGTCAATATCAAGTCAACCTGAGAAAGAAATTCTGTCACATCTCAACAATCTATGCCAAAGCAGGTTAGAGGTGAGTACATCCATGTTTTCATCAAGACATTACAAGAAAAGCTCTCTTTACTCTATTGGCAAATGGGAACAATAAGGATGAAGACTAAACGAAGAAGTATTTCTCTTCTGAAAGCAAGCATGTAGTGTGCATTATGAGTCTATAGAGCATTTAATAATGAGGCTTGATCTTAAGTTCTTATCCTGCTCAGAACCCTTAGATTGGCATTAGTCTCATTAATCTCAATACAAGATGAACAGCAAATGCATGAAGTAATAGGGATTAACTTCAGTCAGCAAGGCACCCAGAACTATTGTGACATGTATACCTGTGAAAAGATGGGATTATTAGTCCCTTATATTATTGGGTCACTGGTACTTCCCTCTACCTCATGAACTATACATAAAGAGCAATGGGACCAGTGCATTTCCTCCAAAATCATCTTCCTCTACAGCTGTGTTGGATTTTTTTAATATACAATTCCACTTTGAATAAAAGAGCAAGGAAAAATTCATTCAACTTCCACAGGCATGTTGGCTATACATGAAAAATATAGGATTTTAAATAGTAAATATAACACTATTTATCAATCAGCCATAAAGTTACAAAATAAAGGCGAGACTGCTTAATTACCAATAAAATATGAAATTATACAGTGAACCAATTTTTACTTTTGCACAAATGAAATCAGGATGCCTTGCCAAAATGACAGATTTAAAACACTGCCTACTGAATATACAAAAATATAAAGTACAAGTAACTTCAGAAAATTCTTGGAAAAATGCTCTCAAAGACTGGTTTTCAGTCCAATTGCAATGATGCTTGGTGGAAATGTTAATGGCATAGCTCCCAACTTGTTACAATTATGGCACTAATATGACTACTTTGAGGGAAATTATGTGTGAATGTGAGTAGATGTACCCTATTCAGAAAATAAGTGTTCCATTTGAATTTTTTGAAGCTACTTGCATTTACTTTGCAATAGGAACATTTTCTTTAGGCTTCTACCACATTCATATTTAAAGCAGGAGGAAGCCATGACAATTCACTTCAGGGTCTACTCTTTTAGGGCTTCAGACCCTTTTCTATGCTTCCTAAATCACAAATCGGGTTCAATATTTCCTCTTTTCTGGTTATCATGTTTCCCAGTCAAAAGATGAAGGTCCTTTTCTTCTAATATCTTCTATGAATTCAAGATCTCATTAGGATGTAAAATTAGTGTTAGCAGATTTATCACACAGACTTAAGGTAGCATCTTGTGTCTCTACATGGGTTGTCAAAGAAGTGAATAGGAGTCCATATTGTCAAAATAAAGTTATCCAACCGGTGTGGCATGCAAGACACATATTTCACATTTCATGTCTGGCAACCATCTTCAAGTGAAATAATTGCCTGAAAGTAGCAGTGATAATACAAATCTAGGCAAAGGAACATTTTCCTTCACTTATGGAATGCATCTGAACTCAAATTTATCGAGTTGGGAATGAGCGACCAGTTTCTTTTTTTTTTAATGTTCCCCCTTATAAGAGGATGGATCATACTGACAGAATGAGATCCAAAGTTCTTTGATACAGGTCTACATAAATGAAACCATCTCATACAGTATTGACAAATCCTTAAAAAGTATGATGAATTTACCATAGGCCACTTTTGTAATTATTATTGGTATGCTGGAAGACCTAAGACTTTCATGCTTCTTCCAATCAAGATCTGTTTCTGTCAATCTGCAATTTCAGACATGTAACTATTGCATGACAAGAGAAATCAGTGATCTGTGCAAGTTGTTTGAGTGTGAACCCAGAAAGAGCGAATCCATTGCCAGTTGGAGCAGGGACAGGTGAAGTGAAGACGACTTATAGTCACGCTCCCCAATATCCAATGGAATGGGTCGTTGCATTCTTCCCCTGTTGAGAAAGACAGGTTTTTGGGTGAGCAACATGAATCCATAGCAAATGCCCTCACACAACAGTGATCATAATTAAGTCATATCTTCTGCACTGTTTGCATATTAAACTCAGTCATCTTTTGAAAAGGAAAGAACAATACTGCATGAAGTTATACCTTGAGGGCAGTTACGCTGAGCTTGGGAAGTAACCCCTGAGATCACATCCACTCCACCTGCATCAGTGCTGGGTAGAACCAATACTACATGGAAAAAAGACCAGCATGAATAAGCGTGCATCCTTTGAGAGCACAAACCATAAACTGCTGAATTTAAAAGAAACACTGCTCTTGCTACTCACCAGGCAGAACCTCTCTTTCAACTTTTTCAATTTGAATGGATCGCTTGACATCTCTCTTCCATCCCAGCCAATCTGGCTGGATGTCAGCATCAGGTGATTCCAGGCCATATATTGGGTCTGGCTCTTCATTGTCATACTCAAACCATCTTTCATTTACTCCACTCAAGTCTTGATATGGATCTACCCATTGATTCCCCATCTCCCTGCTCTGCCCATACTTGGAGATGTGATGCTTGGATTGGTAGACCATGGGCTGAACCTCTTCTTTTCCATGTTGGGCCTTTTCCCACAGTTTAAGTGCACCTGGATGCTTTTCCAAATATTTCTCACCAAGAGATTCTGTTTCGTTTGGGTGTTCTGGCCATTGTGAGCCTGGAAGTAAAAATTAGCATCCTTGCAACGACTCAGAATATGTAACTGTACACAGGCCTAGATAACGGCAATTTGAAACAAATACATTATAGCAGCTTAATAAACTCTGCAAATTATATGACAACAAAGCAGAACTTAAGAAACTAAAACTGCAAATTTAATCAATGGCAGGAAGGTCAAAATCATTTTAGCTCCTTGGAAGCAAAATGACAGATGACACATAAATTAATTTTAGCTAGATATAATTCTGATATAGAATATAGATACTTACTGACATTGAGATAGGACTGAAATTGTGGTACAAAGTCCCTGCTCCATCCCACCAAATGGAAGTCATGCTCTTTCCCTAGAAATCAAGACTCATTCATATGATCAAATGAGTTGGAACAGTCCAACAGTCTGCACTAATGTTGCACAACTCACAGCTGGCCAGCCAAAAGAGGATTCCATCGACACTTGGACCAAGACTGATGACACCTGCAGCACTTGAGAAGAACTGTCCCAGCTTGGCAAGCTCTCCAGATACCACCTCCCCACTCCCATTCCTCCCACCTACTACCAATGCCTGTAAATACCAACAAAGATCACTGCAGACCTAATAAAATTTGCTTCAGCATTTCAAAGCACAAGGGCAGTTCCTCCTTTCTATACTGGGCCTTCATTCACTTTGGAATCTGAATAACTCCTACCTGAGAATCTTGCAGAAAAAATATGTCAAGCCCCTTTTCACCAACAAAGTGTCCAAGTGACATGTTGCCATCCCTGCAACCAGAGAAAGGTATAATTAGCACAACTAAATGCTTTTATAGATAGCCACTCATGTCCAGCTTGAAATATTGAGAGGCAGACTATGTCTGATGGAATTATCAACCATTTTTTTTTAAAATCAGTTTCCTGCCATCTCTGCTTTACTCAGGTGGCAACAGAGCTAATGCTTGTTGAAAGACATTTCATTTCCAATAAGAATCAAGAAGCTAACATATACAACCATAAAATCTACCTTTTTGGTCAAATTCTCAATTTACAACACTGCTTCAATTAGGTTTCCACCAATACCAGTCAACCCCTGGGTAATTTCAAACAGCTGGATATTTCTAAACAAAAGAAAATCACACTTCTGGGAAGAACTGTCCAAATCTATTTTCCCATGAGAGTAGAGTATGAATTCAGCTTTCCTTTGTAGCTGTTAAGCAGTCATCCCACAATTGCTCACTTTTCACAATATCTTGCTTGCTTCATTTGTGGGGTGTAGAGGTAGGGGTTAACTTGACAAATTAGGCATGAGACTCAAGAGGGAACAGAAAGCATAATAGCAGTGCCAAAACACCTGCCACCAACAGTTTTTAAGACAGCAGCCGAATAAGAAATATATTTTGCAAAAAACAAAGGTGAAAAGCTGTAGTCTTTCAAGAATGAAACTGCCATGATGATCCCATGTTTCAGACCTGATACAATGAGAACTTACCAACTCCAGCACCTTTATACAAGTGTAGAACACAACTCACATAGAGTGAAGTGGAGAGGTCCACATTGGAGAGAAGTCCCAACCATCAAAAGCAAGTGTTGCATTGTCAACATTGATGCTGAAGTCTTCTATTCCATCTCCATTCAAGTCTCCCAGCTGGATTGGGCCGCTCGTCCCGTTGACCCCGAGCAACAGAGTGCGATAACCTCCCTTGTCACCAATGAAGTCTTCTAGTTGGAAGATGCTGATTCGAGCTGGGTAAGATGAGGTGAAGAGGAGATACTCAGTCTCGTCAGGGTGGACAAGAGTTACAGGTGGATGAAGCGATCCCTCCACATTCATACGAGACTCATGCAACTTTCGACCATTGCTACCACTCAGAAGAAACCACCTCCGTTTCCTCTTTTTCCCTTTGCGTCTTCCTTCTGGCTCTGACAGAGAGAGAACGGCATGACCAGAGAGAACCCAGAGAAGTACTGAGAATGAAAGGGAAGAAGCCTCACTTGACTCTGTAGGAAGCACAAGAACATCAGGTACCGAGTCTCCATCCCAGTCCCTCACCTGGACTATGTGCATAATAGATGATGATGAGAATTCCCAGATAATAGTTCCATCTTTTCCATTGACCCCCAGAACATCCTGTAAAATAGAATTTCCTTTTCAAAAAAGAAAGCCCAGAACTTTCTTTTGAGAGAAAATCTCGTGCAAAGCTGAGACATGCCGTAGCTGAGGCTATGCAATCCACAATATTGTCCCCTGAGACATCAGTTTTGCAGGAGAGCTGCTGAATGTGATTTTGAGTCCCCTGTCTCCAAAGAACTTGCCCATCTGAAGCATTCACCCCGATGATACTGCCTCGACAGGGCTGATTTCCCTCAAAGTAGATGTCACACAGGAGGGCATTTCCCTCTGCTGTCCCCTGAACTGAATCCAACCCTAGACAACAGATACAATCATGTATGATGGGGTGAAGGAGGAAATGATCATATGCACATGCAAAATTATATCATGTGTAAGCTGAAAAAAATGACATGCACACATTGTACACTCATTAACCAAATCTCTTCCCCATCTGGAATTTCTTCTGCATAAATTCCTCCTCAACCATGAGGATACACATGATGATTCCTTCATTTCCCATAAGATGAAAGTAGTTGATGATAGTTATCATCATACATCATGTGACAATTAATTTTTAATGCATAATGCACTACCTCTAATCATTCTTTGGATGGGTGCTACCTAATGTGTGAAGAAAGGAATAGGTACTTTCCTTGATCCATGGAACATTACATGTTTAAACCTTTCATAAGACTTAAGCAAAAAATAAGGGAAAGTTTTTAATGAGAAAATGCTAAATTTTTAATCTGCACAAAGACATTTTAAAAATTCCCATGTTCACCAAATCCAAAGCTTACTTTCTTTGCATGAGATTTAATATGTCTTTCTTCATAGTCACAAAGAGGTCAAATAGTGCTGTTCATTCAGATAATACTACAAATACTGTTGGCTGATAAGCATTCATGGCATTGATGAATACACGAGTTTCCACAGTTTCCATAGTGAAACCATCCATCACCTCAAAATGGACTTATCTAGACTGGGCCTTCTTGTAGTTTTAAATGCACAAGCAACTTGAAGGGGTCAGTCGCAAGTATTATGTGAATTCTCAATAACCCATTAGCAGGTTAGGGCAGCCTCAACTCTACTCGGAACACTTTGTTAACCACATCAAGATTCACATCTTTACACATCCACACCAACACCCTTTCTGACTAGAAGTCATGGGAGACATGCACCAAATCAGTCCAGGTTGAACATTATCAATAAGCTCCAAAAAAGATCACCTAAGTTAAATGTATTCTAGCAAGAGCCAAGCATTAAATTTAAGTTCAAAACATCTGGTGAATGTCAGTCACTTACTGCATCACATTATGAGGGCTTAGTATAAATAATTAATAGACACCCAATCCAAGGCAGAAATAAAGACTAAAATCATGGCATAAAAATTACACACAGAAGTAGGTAGAAAATTTTACAACAGAAAAACAAAGGAGATAAAAAATGAAAAAAAATAAGAGAACCAATAACTCAGGCAGAAAAATAAGTCTTTGAAAAACAAACCATTCAACTCAGAAAAACCATGGGGGGGAAGAGTTCTGCAACTGAAAAAGAAGAAAACCAATATGCATTATGAATAAATTGTTGCTGCAGTGTTTTTCTTAACTCTGGTTTCCAGACAAATGGAATTTACATTCCCAGATAATTTTCTTACCTGAGGAGGCTCCAAGAAATAGTAAATCCCTCTGGGAATCTGCTTCCATGATTAGTGAGCCATACTTGGGCAAAGTGAGAGTCCAACGTGTCTCCTTCTTCAAGGAAGTACATGAGTGCCGGAACTTCATCCAACTTGGGACTGCCACCGAGTCATTGAGATATTCCATCACATAGACACCAATTCCAAGGATTCCTATGAAGGCATAATAAATGAAGGTAAGGGAGACATGGTTTATGGTATGTTAAAGAAGATATGACTGAAGGGGAAAAAAAATGTGTTTAACATTCCTTGAGTGTCAGGATCAACTAAACCACAGGAATGGTGAAGAGGAAGACAAAGAGCAATTACAGTCAAACTCGGTTATAACGTCATTGAAGGGACCAGGTAAACCCGTCGTTATAACTGAGGTTGCCTTTATTGGCACTCCGTTTTCCTGTATTCAAAATTGATGCTACATAATGTTACAACTTCAGTTTACATTGGTCATACTACACTAGCTTCAGTTTCAAGATTGACCCACTAATCGCACTTCTTTGGATCTTGAACTACTTTATACTTTAGCAAGGCTTCATCGATGTCATCTCGACAGACCTAGGAAGTTTCTTGTCTTGTGACATGTTCTCATAAGCACAGATGAAGCTGTCACGGTTTTCCTAAATTGTCTAAACAGATGAACAGGCGTCCATGTTCGCGAGCGACGTTAGCTTCACTTCGAGCTCTTTCTATTAAACTAATCGAGCACACATTCCTTTCAATCGTGAAGGCTGGCCTCTTTTGTTTTCCATTGGCCATGTTGTCAACAAGAAATGCAAATGGCGACTGAAGATAAGGTGATCTTAGTTACTGGGGATTATCCCTAACATTGCTCCAGCCACACACACGACTTTCAAGGAATGTCGAATCCAGGAAATATAAAGTTATGGCTCGTCAACACTAATTTTTCCGATGACGAAAATTTCAGTTAAGAATGACGGATTAGGGACATGAACGTTGTCGATTTCATCTGTGGGACCTTCAATGGACTTTGTTATAGCCGAGGTAAAATGTAACGTGCCTTATGGGCTCTATGCCGGGACCTGGCACTTTCATCATTATAACCGAGTTCGACTGCAATTCTAGTTAGGGATAGAACTTCACTAGAATGCTTTCCAGATTGACTTTAAACCCCTTACTCCCTCTCCATGGCACTGTTGCTTGTAGTGACATAAGAGACATCTTGCCTTCATCATCTTTACTAATAATGTACCAATCGGTTTAACAAGAAGCACGACAGGAGAGGTATAAATGGGTCAAATTGTAAGATCCCATTTTGAGTTACCTACCTACATTAGCAGAAAGTGATGATAGTATGTATAGTAATTTTAAAAATTCCAAACACTGCTGGAATTCATATTGACTTGGGCTGAAAGTGAACCACCTGGTGGCAGGGGCCATGGAAAAGAAAAGTAAATAAAGAGGTGCTTGAAATGACACAATCAGTCTCTCTCTCCCTCCCCCTTCCCCTAGAATGTTACTAATTACTTTATATCAACCTGAATATATATTACTTTTCAATATACTTTACAAATAATACTTACTGATCACTGACTTGCTGACCATCATCTTACAGTGAATTTGACAATTTGATTATGCCTCTATTGCTTGAAGTGTTAGAAGTACTACTTTGATGAGCCACCAACAGGGTCCATTGAAAAGTATGGAGCCCATGTTAAAGGGGGTTAAAGTCATTCCAGAAACACTGTAGAAAGAAAACCTACCAAATAGAGCAGACAGTGCCAACAGCAAGTAACAGATGGGTGTACACCAAGCACGACAGGGAGCACGAGCTGGTCTTCTGATTCTGGTCTCCATCAAAGGTAAGTTCCCATTTTCAGTCTGAAAGAACATTCAATATTATCACAAAGGTTGACAAATCAGAAGTCAATGATTCAGGCCTCCAAAGGCTCATGAATGCCCATAGGCCTAACATCAGTCCTATAATCCTATAAGCACAAAATGCATCACCATGGGCAAGTATCTCAAGATGTTCATGGGAGCACCATGATGCCAATCCCCCAACCAATAGAATAATTACCTTTGTAACCTCATCTAATCCTATTACAAGTCCTACTGTAGAGAATACAGATCAAGGTCTATATCATGCTCAACTAGCAAAGTGTAGCAGATCTACAAGAGGTGTTCCAAGAGTTCTGCTTTTATTTTTACTTTTTTTTTACCTAATACAGGCACAACTTGCTCAGCTTGTTGAAACAGTGCACTCATACTTTGCCTTCCATGAAGCCATCATTAGGTACAATATATTTCTACTGCCAGCACAATAGGTAAACAATATCTTTTTTTGTACTTCTTGTCTTGTCTTCTGCTGAACTGAACAGCTTGCTGCAGTCTTTGAAAGCTACTAAAATTTGGTTTTATTTTTCCTTCATCTCTCCATAATGGGCTTGTATTGTCTTTCGGTGAGCACTTTCTCAGCTCAAGTGAATTTTGTAACTTATGAAAGTATACCGACCGGCCTATTCACTCATTCCTAAGTCTAACTTAGCTGAGACCAAAGCCTATATAAATAGCTCAAGGTACATCGAGCAATGCCTAGCTCAACACACTGCATGCTAGGTCAGACCATCAATAAACGAACCTGGGATTTCTTCCTTGGAGGCATCAGTGGCTTGGCGAGATCGTCTTTCCCGTGATCGCCTTTCCCATCCCCATTGCCGTTGAGAAAGATGTGGTCGTCGACGTCTGATAAGTCTTCGTCCTCGAGGAGCACCCCGTTCATGGTGATCACACGGGGGACAACTTCCTCAGTGTCTGAGAAACGTTGCTGGAGTTATTCCATACGCTCGGGTTAGGTCGAGTCGGAGAATGGTCGGGAGCCACTGAGTCGGGGTTCGCTGCACATGCGGGATGAGGACAGTCGCGTGTAAGGTGCCATTACTGGAACATGGTGGGTAACGTGCTGACAGCCACGTGATGTAGTTAAATATTTTTTTCACTGAGTTTGACAGTTTTTCGCAGGACTCTGATTCCGCCTGTGCAGAGGCGTAATCAGGAGGGGTGGCTGAAGCCCCCCCCCCCCCCTCCTGGGCCGACGAGAAGTTACTAATCCCCCCTTTGGCGAAACTCTTGCTACGCCATTGCGCATGTGACACTTGGAAGTGACCCGTATGCAGAAGTGACCCATTTCTTCTGCACGTGTTCTTGCAAATAGCCCAACAGAATCGATCTTGGGATCAACACGAACTCGAATCAAAAGCGTATCGATAGGTTGGGGAATGAGATTCTCTTGAACCCCTTGAATGAAACTTCGTTTAAATGCAGTGGGTTTGACTCCCTCACCGTTTTGCTCAATTCTCCCAGAAAGCCTGTCTACCTGGAAATTTAAGTCAAGGGTTGATGTTTTTTTCCGGATAAAGCATGGTCGATTTTCATGCACATACTGACTCAGCTTTAGGCATTGGTAGTAAAATAGATGCATTTTGATCATGTTGAACCAATATTTATAATTGTGTGCTCAATGTGAAGCACTTTCCTTTACTATTGGACCAAATGACCAGGGGAATAATTCCTAACCCATGCTGGCAAGAAGTTTATGATGAGTTCAGAGAATTCAAGATAACCTGTTGACATTTGTTTATGCCAGTCCTGTAACCCTCACACCTTGAGTAGTATGTACACTAAATGTTTGACATGATGAGTGCTGGTGGGGGTTCAGTCCCTGAGCTCTGAATCTATATAGCTAGTCAGCATACTCTACAGGTTGGCAATGGAGGATAACTTTTCCCCTTTGGCCGAGTTCATACTTGTGCTGTACAGCATGCTGGACACAATGCAGTACATAGCAGCAGTCCATTAATTGACTGCAAAACTAAATGCTGCATGTTCTACTGTCACCTAGACAAATAGGAATGGTTTCTATTCAATCCAGCATGCTGTACGGCATGAAATGTTTGCCAGACAACATGCAGCTTCCAGCTGCTGTTTGGCATATTTCTTGATGCTTTGCAAGATTGCAGTATAGTAGCTGCTCATGCTGGATTGAATTTTTCAGTACAGCTTGCAAATGCAGCATTCAACATGCAGAACAGCAGGAGTATGAACTCAGCCTTACTCATAGGTATGCTGCAGTGCACCCACATGTTGCTGACAGCATTTGGGAAGACACCTTCAAAAAGGATTTGTGTAGAACTTGGAATTTTGTGCATCAGATATAAAAATTAAGAATATATCTTGGTACAAATTCAGGCACTCATGTTAGAATTTCTTTTGGTTTTGCTGACTATGCAATTGTTGCTTTTCAGCTAGCCCAAAAATGGAAATAGCTTACATATTTACACTGGATACTTCATGCTGTGCAATTGGGGGAGTCAGGAATTGGGGTTTTCAAACTTACCATCACCAGGTTAGTATATAAATTACAAAAAAGAGTTTAACTGCATCTGACCATGAAATATTTTTAATAAAGTCCATCTTGGTAGGCCTACCTGCATTACTTATATTATGGACACCCCTAAGTATGGGGGAAAATTTACTTAGTTGGGATATGCAAGACACAATGACAGAATAGGATCTAGATTGGATTCAAGATATAGACACAGTATCTTAAAACTTGCCAATGTTGTTCACTAGATGCCAAATATTGAGCTAGAAGTCTGACTGCTGTCATCTGAGAATGGGCTATTATACTAATGGCATATTATTTACAGGTTCAGAAGAATGAGTACAATGCAGAAATTCATGAGCTTTTCACTGAGGATTCCCCAGCCCAGTCACCAGTTGCTGGGGCAGCCTAGCCTTAGCACGACCATCACTCGAGCATCTTCCAAGCTGAGCACCCAGAAGCTGAAATCCATACTGGATGGGGATAATCACGTCATGAGGGATGAACTGCGCAACTACCTCTGTGATCCTTTGATGGCCCCTCGATATCAGATCCCCCTGGCAGAAGAAAGAGAACTTGCCTTGCAGAGATTGAAGAAAGTGTGTGATAAGGGATTCATCTCAGTGAAGGATTTCTGGAATAATCCCCTGAAGATATTTGCAGCTCATGAGCTTTGTGCCATAGTTGATGCCTCAATGGCAACAAAGATGACTGTCCAATTTAACTTGTTTGGTGGCACTGTCCTGAAGTTGGGAACTGAGAAGCATCATCAAAAGCTGCTTGATGGGATAGACTCCCTTGATGCTATTGGGTGCTTTGCATTGACAGAACTGGGTTATGGTAACAATGCAGTTGAAATGGAAACTACAGCCATATATGACAAGGACAAGAAGGAGTTTGTTATCAACACACCCACTCCCCTTGCACAGAAGTATTGGATCACTAATGGAGCCATCCATGCTAAGCATGCTGTTGTGTTTGCACAACTCATCATAGATGGGAAGAAGCATGGAATCCATGGAATATTGGTTCGCATCCGGGATGAAGATCTAAAAGTGATGCCAGATGTGGAAATCCATGACATGGGAATGAAGATGGGGTTGAATGGTGTTGACAATGCAAAGTTGAGCTTCCACAATGTTAGGTCACCAAGAGAAAACCTCCTGGATCGATATTCAACTGTGGGAGAGGATGGTTCATTCTCTTCTTCCATCGAGGGAATCCGGACTAGGTTTCTTGCTGTTGCAGATCAGCTCCTGTCAGGTCGACTCTGCATTGCCAGTATGTCCCAGGGAGTGGCCAAGGCATCACTGGATATTGCCTTTCGTTACGCCTCCACACGTCTTACTGCTGGTGCAAGTGGAAAGTCTGACACCCCCATTTTAAACTATCAACTGCAACAAAAAGCTCTGGTGCCATTGCTTGCCAGGACATATGCCATTAATTTTGGCCTGAATTGGATCAAGGAGAGATGGGCAAAGCAAGTATGTGTTCCTGCATGATCAAGCTCTTTTTATTTTCTATCTCTTTGCTTTGCATGCATCCTTAACATGTTCTGCCTGCATTGCATAGCCAGAGATGGCTATTATTTCGTTTAACATAAATGAATAAACTCAGCCATAAATACAGGTTTTTTCCCTTGAAAGATTACCATGTGGTTCCACACTCAGCAATTTGACCCTTGTTTACAGTATTTTTACCCTCTCCAAGAAACTACTTACTGCTTCTAGCTCTGAAATCTAGTTAGTGCTTTATATAGTTGACATTACCTACATTAAAATCAGAACAGACCCTTCCCACAATAGGTCATGATTTTATTTATATTTTCACTTTCCAGAAACCAGATGGCAGTGAACATGCAGAAATAGTGACTCTCTGTTGTGTAATCAAGCCATTGGCATCATGGAACGTGGAGCGAGTGGCATCTATTGCCCGAGAGCGTTGTGGAGGTCAAGGTTATCTCTCCTGTAATCGCTTTGGAAGCTTCATTGGTCTTGCACATGCAGCAATGACTGCTGAGGGAGATAACTGTGTCCTCATGCAGAAGGTGGCAAAAGAGAGATTAGCAGCTTTCAAACCACTGACTCCTGCACCTCCCCAGAGCGAAAACTTGAATGACCCAGTCTACCTGGCCTATCTCCTGGCTATGCGAGAGAATGACCTATTCACCTCTCTTCGTCAGATCCTCAAGGATGCAGGGAAGGAGGGGCTCTTCAGAACTTGGGTGGAAGAGGAATCTGACCTAATCCAGAAGAGCGCCAAGGCCTTTGGGGAGAGGGTCATCTCAGATGCATTCCTACAAGCGATCGCTGAAGCCGATAAGCCCGAGAAGGAGGCCTTGTTGGAACTGTATAAACTCTATGCAGTCGGCATCCTCCGAGAAGACCTGGGATGGTTTCTGACCGAGAAGATGATCTCGTTCGACCTCACGTACGACCTCGAGAAGCTGTACTCCCAACTCTGTTCACGTGTTGGGGCAAGGAGCAAGGAGCTGTGTGATGGATTTGGCATCCCCATTGAGATGCTCTGGGCACCCATCAGTCAGGACTGGGTGAAATATAATCAGGGAGACAACCAAGGGGAGGTGATTTAATTTCACAACTCTTCAACTAAATGCATTTTCTGATTGCTTCAATCATAACTTCCTTTGGGCAATATGTACCATTTGGGAATCGAGTGAATTCTAAGAGGGAATGTTATATTCTCTGTTTTCACTCGTTGATATTTAGCAGATATTCTTGTGTGATTCACTGGCATTTTGCACTCAACCCAAACGTTCAGGCAGAACATTTGGGCTACTGCTTGAGATCCATATCGTTGGGTCTTCATATTTGATATGGAGAAAATTCTTTTCTGATGTCCTTTTGAATATATCCTGACCTTGTTCCTTTTTTTTTTACAATTATATTTCTATTGGTGAAACCAAATTGTATTTCATTGCTCCTCGTCGGACTCGTAGACGCGGACACCGTCTACAAGGACTTTCTCGCACGAAAGTCGACTGAAGTCGATGTCGTCTGGAAGGGGTGGCGTTTCACACTTCATCCCCTTGCCACAATCTCCGTCTCCGTCGCATGTCTCGCCCAAGTCCTGCGGAACGACATTAACTTTACTGTTGGTGTTTGTCAATCGAGTTTCCAAGGGGTTGGTATCGAATTATCGAAACTTACCAACGAATGGACATTTTGTCGAAAGACAGTTACGTGAACTCGCGCGACCACACATCGAAGGAAATGAAGCGTCTCGAGAACGAAAGGTTCAGGTCGCCGCAGGCCGAAAAAATTCCGGTTTTATTTTTTTTTTCGTTCTGGGCGTCTGGAATCGTGTGCGTAGTCAGTTGTGTCCTGCCTATTGTCTAGTTCCGTCCTGCTCTGCATCGCGCCTTTGACGCGCGTCGATGGAAGACGGCGACGGGGCAGACCCAGAGAAGCGGCCGTCCATCCACCACAGCCGTGGGATGTTCGAGGTCGAACCCTCTCCAGTGAACCCCGGAAAACAATCTTGAGGCATGGCACAGGTGGGAATCCTCATTGTTCGGAAGGCACATGCATTTTTATGCTCTTACGGCTCAAAAAAAAAAACGGCGACAGAGCACGTTATTTCGAAGTTGGAAGCGGGCCACATGACAGGGAAAAAGAAAGCAGAGGTTGGCAGGAACAGCGTAATTCTGGAAGTCACTCGTGCCTATGGAGATCGCTACCATGTGTTTTTTGAGAAGGGTTTCGTATAATGTTCCTATTCGAAATGAGTGTAACATACCCATGTCTTTCACATTTCAACATTCGACCTTGCGATGAAGCCCGAGATTCCAAAATAACTAATTTTTTTTTTCCTGCATTTCAACTCTTCGACGAAAGTCAACTTTCATCGAAAAAAATTTTGCTTCGGCGAAACGTGATTTCGCCTACTTTATTCGACATTTGGAGTTTCGTCCATTCGATTCGTCGGCATTTCGCCTTTTCGAAGCCAAATCTTAGATTCTCGTTGCATTTGCACATACCGCCAACATTCGCAGGTAAACTTATCGGCACACTTAATGTCGATTCGTAAAGACTGAAAGCTCTCGATCGTTTAGATGCCAAGAAACAAAATCAAAGGACGAATTCAGATAAAGTTTTTTTTTTTTTATTTCAAGTCACTTCTGGTTGCGTGTTTCTTCTTCCCAGTGACTGAAACATCTCGTGAAACGTACACTTCGCATCAAATAATTTTCCCTCGCTCAAAAATGGAGGAATTCCTGCATTCTTAACATATTTTCGTTTCGTTCGGGGATGTTTCAATTTCTTTGAAAGAATCCCATCTTGCCCAGTAGTTCCTGATGGTCCGTTTTTTTTAATTATAATTATTATTATTTATTTAAGCAAGTGGCCGCCGAACAGGTCGTATTTGGATTTCCTTCGACTCTCTTCCCGCATTTGTAAGGGGAATTACGGAAAAGTTCTGAGACGTTTCTACACAGAAACACGCGTTTACTCTCGAATATGCGATTTCCTTCATCACTTTATCTTGGTTCATTCTCTCTTTCTCTTTCATTCTCGTTCAAAATTTCATCGAATGTTGGTAGCTCAATTTCAATCGCGGAAACTTGCTGTTTCGACAATTAAATACTAAATGGGGACAGTGTTGTTGCCGTTTCTGAGGGGGGAGCAAGAGAGCCTCGACGATTACAGCCTCTCGGCCATCACCCCCATTGGCTGAAAAAAAAAATTCCCGAGAAAAAATTACGTTTCCGAAAGAGAACGAACGACGACAACGACAGGAATTCGATTGCGTATTTAAGGAGGGGAAAAAAAAAATCCTAGCCGCTAGAGACACCCGGCGGAGGTTTGGGGAAAGTCCACTCACCCGGAAGCACTCGGCGGCATCCGCACGGCTCGATGCTCACGCCGGCCGTGCATTTCGACGCGCGGAATTCCGGGCACGCGCATCCGGACCTCCGGAGTCCCCCCTTCTCTCTGAATGATCTGCGGAGAGCCGATATTCAATAAGTCGATATTTAATTAATTGCACGATGCACATCGATGCGGAAGGGTGGGCGCTCGACCGAGAGAACCGTGCGATTCGAACGACTCGTGCGCTCTGGTGAAACATGGACATGGTGTTCAAATTTTCCAATTCCTCCCTCTCCTTTTTTGTTATTGCTCCGTGAAGAGGAAGTGAGAAAAAGGGGAGGGGGAGGAGACATATTTTATTTCAAATTTCAGACTCCTCGTAAATATATGATGTTCATATAAAAAAAAGTTCGGGTGACATCACGTTTTTTGCATGAATCGGTAAGTACGAGGACCAAAGTAAAATATTGAAAATTGGTTTTTGCCGAAGCCTTGCTAAAAATTTGCGAATGCCCTTGGTGGGCGTTTTTTTTAAATTTTATTTAGAACAGGGTTGCAGAAGACCGTGCGAATTTTGCGATTTTCGATCAACTCGTTCATTTCTTACATTAAAACATATTTCGATCCATCGAACTTGATCGAACGAGGGGTTTCGGCAACCCGTGTTTCCTTTCGGCAAAAGCGTTCCTTTTCAAAAGCGACATCGGCTCCCTTCGCAGCCGTGAATTTGACCTTCCGAATGCGCAAAAATGGATTCGCAGCGATTTGAGAAGAGGAAATGACCACGTAGCAAATTTGCCTAATAGCCATGGAGAAAATATACCAGAAAGAAAATGTCCTCGAGCTTGCCGAAACAGAAAATTTTGCGCGATGAGGAATTCTCCCAAACTCTCCGTTCGCACTCGAGTCTGGGAAATTTTCCCCGAGAAGGATGAAAAGTTAGGCAAATTTGCTATTTTGGAGTTTATGAATGCCCGAATGCCAAAACCTCCTTTAGTTGACGGTTCTTTTAAGAATACGTGGACTCCTACGAGGCTTCTCGAGCGCCGCTCGCGTTCGATCGGGCTCGATCGGGCTCGTGCACTCGACGCAGACGCCTTCGGCCGTGAAGGTGACCCCGGGTGACCTCGGGTAACCTCGGGTGACCCCGTCCGAGAGGCGCCCGACGGGTCGTCGCCTCACCGCATCGCAGCCGATTATTTCCTTTCTGGGCCGTTTGGAACTCACACGCTTACCCGATGGAATTCTTCAACGTTAAATCTGGCCCATGGGACCCCAGGTGCCCCCATGTGACCCCAGGTGACCCCATGTAACCCCAGGTGACCCCGAGTGATCCCGAGCGACTCGAATTTACCCGCTGACCCAGTCCGAACCAGATGATCCTCGAGCGACCGATCGGCCAATCTCGCGCCTGATTATCCTCGGAAAACCTGTCGTGAGTGGGCGAGTCGGTTGGGTCCTTCGTCGTCACCCCGAGTCACTCCGACAAGATCTCGTGATTATCATGCCTTTGACCTTTGACCTTTGACATGAAGTTCCTCATCGGGTAGGGGGATGAGTTGCCAGCAACCGAGAGAGGAAACGATCCATATTCCCACTCTTGCCACACCCTGAATGCATGGTGTTCCTATATTATTCTTCCAATTTTGAACGTAAATATAATTTTAAAAAACTAATTGACATACAGAAATGGAATTTGCGCCCCAGCGAGGAGAGTAACCGCGAAAATGGAAAATAATTACTGGTACAAAATATACATGTAATATATCTAGATTTGGATGTCATGACAGTTTTGGATAGGATTACTTTCCAGGAATTATATTCTCGGCATTTTTCTAGTTCCACGCAAGACACACTTAGAAATGTAATGAATACATTAGGAGAAACGGCAGCGAAATATGGAGATGTTGTTGATGGTATTTCTGGAAAAGCTGGATGTCTCAATTTTTCGTATTGAAAATAATTTAACTTTCGATGCAATATTAAATAACGTTATGCTTTTTAAATATGTGCTTCCCAAGCCGTGTCAAAGCCAAATATCAAGTATATGTTTTCCTGCTAGAACATGATCGAGTCTGGGTTAAGCGCTTGATGATGAATCACGCTCGAGACTGTCGAGGAAAGAAAATTCTCAACGATCAGGATAACTTCGAAGTATTTTGAAGCTACTGAAAAACAAAGGAAATGTATCTTTGGATCAATCTCATAGAGCATTAGAGACACCCCAAAGCTGGAAGAGTTATGTGCATTTTTATTGTGATTTTTGGAGTAGAAAATTTATTATTTGATAAATTTAAAAAATCTGTAACTTAAAAAAAAACACAAGAATCAGTATAAATAGTTAAAGATGGCTGGCGTTTCCTTTTGAAATGAGCTAATACTCATACGTCTAGCATAAGAAGATAGGGAGATATTGCATTTTTTTAAAAGGGTAAATCCGGGTAAAAGGGTAAAACGGGTAAATCCGAAAATTATGCTGTCTTCGTCAAACGGTTTTTGAGATATGCTCTTTCAAAGTTTAAGGGGAAAGGATAAGATGACGTCTCAAGTGGAAGTCGTCCGACCCCGGCTGATACCCTCCTGAAGAGTGATGGTTTCTCGAAAGACGACATATCTTCGCGAAGCCGCGTTCATCCTCCTGCGAATCGACATCGGGGGCAGATGAAGTTGATTTCAGGAGATTGAAATTGAAAATTTGATTATTTCATGAATTTGATGAATCTGTAAATTTTTTCCAATTAAAACACAAAAGAACCAGTATATAGAAATAAATATGGTTCGCTTTTCTTTTTAAAATGTGCAATTATTCATATTTCTTGCTTAAGCAATAAGGGAGATATTGCATTTTTTTGAGGCGTCATCTCATCCTTTACCCTCAAACTTTCATAGAGCATATCTCAAAGTAAGATTATTAAGATTATTATTCTTATTCAAAGAATACTTATATATTGTACTTATAACTCGCAGTATTTTGAAGCTACTGAAAAACAAAGTACATGTATCTTTGCAGCAATCTCATAGAGCATTAGAGACGCCCCAAAGCTGGAAGAGTTATATGCATTTTTATTGTGAATTTTTTGGAGTTGAAAATTCC